ATATATATATATATATAACACATACATATACACACACACACATATATATATATCATAACAAAAATCTATTAAGAAAAAAGTAACGTACTTGCTTCAATGAATATCTTCAAAGCATCCATCGCTTCTTCGCTGGATGACAACAGTATTGAATCCAATATTGCTCGATACCTGTAATTACCTATTTGTATGAAATGTTTTAAAAATATATTTTACATTCTACTTTATAAGCTTACTTTTCTGCTTGATCTTTATGAGAACCTCCGCAATATGCTAAATTTGCAAGCTGTTGACGTACAGAAGCTGCCGTCACCACCATCTTTTCTGCACGAATAACCAAAAATGACTTTTGCGCTGTGTATTTTGTGCATGAACTATAAAAATTAATTACTAGTGAAAAAAATATTGAAAAAATATCATAATAAGTAAATAAATTTTATTGTTATAATAATAAAAAAAAACAAATTTTTAATAATAGTAAAGATTTTATATTTATTTATATCATTTTAAAATCTATATATATATTTGTATTTTTATAAAAATAAATCATATAATAATAATAATTACATTAATTATTCTTGTAGAATTCATGATGTATTTCATTTTATGTTGTTTTTTTATATAATATGGAATTATAAATTATTAAATTTATTAAATAATTGCATAAAAATACAATATAATATGAGATGGCGCTTTATATAATATCATTATTAATATGTTATTACATACTTTATATAAATAATTTATGATTAAGTACAATACAATCAATTATGTGAATTCATTTATAAATCTGATTTAATAATTTGTGTTCCATAAAGATTTAATGAAATATTTAATTTGATATAATCTGTGTTATTTTATAAATAATTGAATTAAACATAAATCATCAATATTATATCAATATTATAATTAAATAAAAAATTAAAAAAAAATAATACATTTTTTATTTATATTATATTATATTAATTTAATTATTAATTTATATATTAATTTACATTATACTTACATATCAATTATATTTTAAATATTAATTTACATTATTATATATTTAATATTATATTATATTCTTTATTATAATTACATCATATTTTAGCCACCAAAATCAACAAAACATTTTATTAAATATTTAAATTTATAGTTTATGAATTCTTACAATTATTTTTTATTAATAGAAGAATGTATAAAATTTTCAAAATTTAAATTATTTGTATAAAGAAAAAAAAATGAATTTAAATATTTATCTAATTGTTTTTCTTTATTATCTTTATCTTTTGATTACATAAAAATAATCTATATTACTAATTGATATTTATATCAATATATATCTTTATTATGAAGAATTAATTCTAATATAATTATTTCATTAAAAAATTATTAATTCGTATTTTTCTAATTACATATATTTTTGAATTATAGAATTCATTTTATGATATTAAACCAATAATTACATTATTGTATGCATAGATAGAAAATAGAATTTCATTTTTTTCATTTTAGAAATAAAATTTTTAATAAATATTATAGTTATAACAATATATAACTTTTTATAAAATATTTTGCATTCAAAATATTCAAGTTTTTGGAACACTTGGTTTTTTATTGGCCTAAGAGGGCGCTGAAGGGCTGACGTGTTTTTAGCCGCGGAAGGGTGAAAATGGCGAAATCGAAATTTGCAAAGTGCGCGAAAATATTGCTTGGTTTTGATGTAATATCTGATTGATAAAATAAAACATTCGCGTTTGATGAATTACATGTAAAAAAAAAATTAACTTTATAATAACAGTGAACTTGTCATTCTCATTTCACTTTGAAATTTTAATACTAAACGACCTTTAGGTCTGTTTGTACACAGCGGTGCGTAGTGCACTGTGGGACAGCAATGGTGGGCGCGTGATTTTGAACAAATTCGAGATATTGAAGGAACACCCAGGTATGTATTATAAAACAAATTAATTTGCTTAGAAAACATTTTAGATAAAATTTAAATACTTCAAAAACATATGAGAAACTTTTTTGAATAATTTCTTACAATTAAAATAAGCTTCGTGGCACGCCCCCACCCAGCACTGTATGTACCTGATATGAACTGATAAGTTATAGGTTAAGTTGAATTTTGTGAGATTATAAGATGAATATTTGGAAAAAATTCATTTTTTATTACTATTTAGAATATTAAGAGTTTAGTTTTTCTTCATGCATTAATGTCGATTTATTATGAAAATATTAAAACTGTTAAAATGCATGCAGAAATTCAGTTCGCGGAAAATGGCGCGTTCAAGTAATAAATGGCGCTAATGTTCCTAAGTAGACTATCCTTCGAATTTTTCCTCATTATTCAAATTTTATTGTTCGAATTTTCAAAAATTCGAATTATACTCTGTTATTATATTGTTAAATGTGTTTGTAGATAATCCTATTGCTCTTTTGATTTAAAAATCATACATCTACTTCCTAAGGATTTGAATATTTGAATTTTTAAATTTTCGCAGATTCATTTCGTTTTTAAGTCATTTCACAGATCGTTTTATATTTTTCCTTTGATTTATGATATTTTTTTCTTTTTAGTGCGTAAGAACATGTGAAGTTTTATAGAAAAACGATTTACATTCTATGAATTTCTAACCTGTGAATGCATGAAATATATGTTTATAATGAAAGACTTAGACATCTGGAAAACTTTTTTAATATTTATAAAGTTTTTTTGACATATAATGAATATATATAATGAGTATATATAATACAAGATATTAAATATTGCTAAAACAGTTTAAAGTTTATAATTTAAAATTTTATTTTAGAATGTTTATGTAATTCATCAATTTTTGTATCGCATTTGTTTTCGTACTTAATTATGTAATTAATTTCTAAGTTTTATATATATATATATGAAATTTTTAGAAAAATAATTATTTTTAGAAACTATTCCTTTTACAAAAAGATGCATTATATGTTTATATAATTATTCATAATTATTTGAAGGAAAGTTTACATAGTCAAAAATATAATTATATAAATAAATATAAAATATAAATATAATATAATAATAAATATAATATTTAAATAAAAGTAATAATTATTTTATTTTAGTTATATTATAAATTTATATATTATTTAAGTTATTGTACATATCAATTTTAAAAGACATATTAATAGATATTAAGTGGTATTTAGATTTTAAATAACATGTAAGCTTCTATAATAAATAATATTTTGAATAGGGACATAATCATGTCTGTAAATAAAGGGCAAAATGCTAGAGCATTGGTTGAACCATTAGCTCTTGATTCACGTACTCTTGGTGATGGAGATTTAAGTGCACTAAGTTTATCGCATAATAATGAACAATATTCATCAAATGACTTTGAAGCATTTGCTAATATTCAGGCTGAATTAGAATGTATGAATGCTGAAGAAGTTATGACAACAGATGAAGAGCATATAATAATTGAACGTAATATTCAGACTGAAACTATTGTACCTGATGTGGAAATGACTGAAGTTTCTGGGCAAGCTCAAGAAGAACATATTATTTATACAACAGCAAATCAAAATAATCAAAATATTGTGTTTCAAACAAAACCAACGTTACAAAGGCTTCCTGCATCCACAGTACAGGTATAAAATATAATAATTATGTATCTTGATATTTTTAATTTTACTTATTAATTTTTTTAATAGGTAAAATCAAATGCTGGTCAAGTGACACAAAGTCAGTCTATTATGATAGTGTCTCCTGCTGGTGGTCAAGGTACTAGCCAAATTTTAAAAATTTCACATCCATCAACAGCATCACATGGTCAATTACAATCATTAGCTCAGACTCTCATAACAGCAAAATCTGCTGATGGTAATATAGTTCAGTTAAGATCTGCACAACCTAGTAAACCGGTAATGGCAACTAGTCATTCAGGAAATATCACATTAGGTAATGTTCAAAATGTAAAAACAGCTCAATCAGCTATAAAACGGACTGCACAGAATACTTCTCAAAATCGAAATGTAAGATTGTTAATGATATTATATTTATTATTTTTACTATATTTCAAAGATTTTAAATATTTAATAAGATTTTTTTATTTTCATTTTTAGGTGTATACAAAAATGATATTAACTGGAAATCAAGCTCAATCAGGTCAACAAGTTCTTATAACAAGTTCTCAAAATGAAAACCAACAAACACAAGCAATAAAATTTTTAAATAATAGTGCATCAAGCCAAGATGTTACAAGTCCAACAAAAACTATAACATTAGCACAAGCACAACAAATGGGATTACTTTCCACTAATAAAGTCCCACATATTTTACCCTCTTCACCACAGAAACAAGTGAGTATTAAAAAAAAAGTAAGTATTGCTTCCTTATTATGGAAAAGAAGGATAAAAACCTTCTTCCAATTAATAACTATTTAATAGAATGATTTATTAGAAATAATTAATTTATTTTTGTTTTTGTTAAAGGGAATAATTGTAAATAAATTAGTGCAATCATCAAGTTCTCAACCTTCTAAAATGACTATAGTTCCAAGTAATACAATAAAATCACCTACAAAAATATTACCAGCTCCTACAGTAAATACACAAATTAAATCTTCAACAATTTCAAATCAGCAGTCATTTTCTTCTTCTAATAAATCATCTGTGCAACAAAGCCCTCAAAAAGTGATTATAAGACAGGTTTGTCTACATTTCTAAGATTTATATATTTCATAAAGCATGATATAATTTTAATATTTTCATTATGTTTATATTAATAAGATAATATATTTATAGAGTTCTTTAAAACCTGGAACTGTTCTTGGAAGTGGACAAGTTATTAGAATACCTGCTAATCAAAATATTGTAACTGGATCTAATCAAGTACATCAGATACAAATGCCTGGAAGACAAGTAATATTTTTTTAATTAATATTAATAAATTATAATATTTTAATATTATAATATTTGTATAAATTTTTATATAAACAATTCTTTTTAAGGTGCAATATGTAAGATTAGTTAGTACTCCATCATCGGGAACTACAAATGTTGTTACTGTAGGTAAAACAAAATCACAAACAACTTTACAAACAGTTGGAGTTGGTCAAAAAATAGGAGGTCAACAACAAATTGTTAAGGTTCGTAAAAATAGAATATATAATCATAAACAATAATAGATTTATTTATATTTATAATTTTTCTTTAAACAAAACAGGTAGTTCCATTAAATACTAGTAATCAATCATTAAGAACAGTTGCGCCTAAAGCAACATTAACAGGAAGTGGTCAAAGGTTATTAATTCCGGCAACTGCAACAGTAGGTAATCAATCTAAAAATGCAGTTGCTATTCCGGCATCTGCTTTAAGTCAATTAGCATCTGGACAAGCAGTTCTTTCAACTAATTCAAATGTAGGAAATATTGTAGTGTTACCAGCTCAATATATTCAACAACAGGTTTGATATATTAAATATTTAAAAAAATTGAAATGAATTAAATAAATAAATTGATTATTTATATTATTCATTATATATTTATAATATAAATATAATAATATTACTTGTGTTTGCAGTCAGCGGATGATGTAAAATTGAAAACTCAGCAAACAACAACCAATTTATTAAGTAATTCACAAAATTTACAGAGTTCAACAGGAACTTTATCTGTGGGATCTGTTATAGAAAGTAAAAGTTCTCAAAGATCATATACCAGTGTTGAACCAAATGGTATTAGACCAAGAAAACCATGTAATTGTACTAAATCACAATGTCTTAAATTGTAAGTATAACATTGAATAATAAAATATGTAATATACATATAATATAAATAATAGATATATAATGTTATTATTAGTATTATGATTCTATTTTTAAAAACTGAACATCAGGTTGCTATTCATTTTTTTTATTATATTGATTGCAGAATGACATAATAAAAACTAATATTCTTTAAGATTGTTATGTGGAGTAAGAAATATTGCATTGTGACATCAATAAATGATCATTTTTTAAATCGTATTTTATTAAATAAAGATAATAAATTGTAAATACATTTTATTGCAGATATTGCGATTGTTTTGCGAATGGAGAATTTTGTCATATGTGTAACTGTAATAATTGTTCTAATAATCTTGGAAATGAAGAAGAAAGACAACGTGCTATTAAGTCGTGTTTGGAACGTAATCCAAATGCTTTTCGTCCAAAAATTGGCAAGGGTCGTGAAACTGGTGATGATATACGTAGACATAACAAAGGTTGTAATTGTAAACGAAGTGGATGTTTAAAAAATTATTGTGAATGTTATGAGGTATCATAAATCTTAAATATAAATATTTTTGAGAGTAATTAAATATTGTTACTAAAATCTTTTTTTATCTGTATAGGCTAAGATTCCATGCTCTGCTAATTGTAAATGTATAGGATGTCGTAATGTAGAAGAACCAAATCTAGAGAAAAAATCTTTAAAAGATCTAGCTGAAGCAGCTGAAGTAAGAACTGCACAACTTACACTAAACAAGACAAAATTACAATTATCAGAAATGGCTTTCAGACCTCCTGCAACATCGAATACGGGTGCAAGGTATATTTAAAAAAAAAAATATATATATATATAAATATATATATTTTTGACACAAATTTATATTTCGTAGGCAACCTTTTAATTTTTTAACTGATAAAGTAGTAGAAATAACATGTCAATGTTTAATGGCACAAGCTGATGAAGCAGAACGTAATATGTTTGATGATGAAACATCACAAAGACTTATAATTGAGGAATTCGGTCGCTGCCTTAAGGAAATTATAGAATCTGCACATAAAGCTGAAGCTACCTAGCAGGTACATTCTAAGAAAAAGTATAATGTTAAGAATTTTCAAATTTTGAAAACTTATTCTGAAATTACAAAATTGAAAATGTTAGTTATTGGTACTTCTTAATTTAATAAATTGGCTATAACATAAGTGTTACATACCAAAGATAATGGTAAAGGGAATTAAAAAAAATACATTCAACCGTTTTCTTATCTTATATCTTTAATAAATCATATTAAATGATTTTTTTTTGTAAATATAAATTAACTGTGAGCTTTGTAACTTTCAAAATCATGATTTTAATTTTTATAATGTGATGCTAAGTTATCTCTAATTAAAAATCTATCATTAAATTATTTTTGTTTCTATTGAAAATTTGATAAAAAGAATTAAAATTTTTTTTTTTATAATATACAATATATCATTTAAAAAAAACGGTTGAAAATTAACATTAAAACTTGTAACACAAGTGAATAAGTTATAAAAAAATATTTGTCAATTATATGTATTTTAAAAATTGATTTTAATTTTGGAAATCAAGAGGCTAAAATAAAATAGTAAGAATCAAATGAAATCTATGCATTAAATGTTCCATGTTTCGTATTTGAATTTCTAATTAATTATTTTTATTACTATAAATATTCATATATTTTTATTAAAAGAAATGCATGTATTCATAAAATATCGGGGAATGGTGATGTTTTATGGAATATCGAGAATACTCGATTTTTTGATCGATAGGCAATATGAATAATAAGCTCAAAATATGTTTAATGTAATAGTTTATATTGCTTAAAATTTTCATATTGTATATCGATTTAATATTTGTATCAATTTAAATTAGTAAAAATGATTTGCTATTTTTTCGGTAATGCACTCTAGAATATTCCTGCGTATATTTTGCATTAAAAGTTTGTAAAAGCGAAATCTTAAAAATTTATAAAAATGATAAATTTATTTATGATAAAAAAGTTAATATTATTAAAAATAATTAAGAAACTTGTGTTCACAAAAATAAGAATTATTCAAGTTATTTCTGAATGATGTTGCATTTTTACAATTTTGTCTTTATAATTTTTGGTTTTTCATTTGTAATATTAATAGATTTTTTTTTTTTTAAAAGTTGAAAAATTCCTTTTTCGTTATGTTATTTTTGTGTACTTTGAACATAAGCTTAAAAGCTTAAAAAAAAAAATATATATTAAAAGTTCGAAACAAAAATACAAGTTTCTTCATGTAAATGTTTCGTATATTTTCTTATTAGATTTATAACGATATTTAATATCGTATATTTTCAAATAATTATAAATTAATCAGTTTTTCTTGTTACACTTGTTGCAATAGAGTCATGTTTAATTTAATTATTATATGTAATTTAGTTTATGGAATTATTTAAATAATTATGATAGCGAATGATATTGCAGTGAATGAAAATTAATTAAGAATACAATTATCTAATATATAAATTGAAAATTTGATTGGTACGAATGAATGATTTTTCATCATGCAATGATCATCATTGCAGTAGTAATATTATTTGTCTGCCATTAGGGGTGATAAAAGTATAACTTTTATGTAGAAAATTAATATAAAATATAGAGAGTTTATATATTATATATAAAACTTGTATAAGAACAAATGTAATATAGAAATACAAATATAAATATATATTATATATTCATAAAATTCGTACTTCAAATGACAATGTTTATTTTAAGTATATAAAATTGTACAGACTTATAATTTAATGAGGTTAATATTGTGTGAATTAAAATATAATTTTGAGTCATCTCTTAGATGTCTCAAAAAACCACAATAGAGAAAAATTATTCATACATTTCTACTTGTTATATGTCATTTGTATAACAAATCAAATATAAAAATATTAATTAAACTAATATTAAAAATTTTACAAAAATGTGTATGTATAAGAAAGTACTATGTACAGATAATATTCGTATATTTAAATATATCTTTATAATTTGTCTCTGTACATAGGAAAAAATCTGATATCACAAAAATTATTAAATAATTTATTATTTTTAATTTAGAAAAAATTATTTAAATATGTTCAAATTAACTAAATATGTAAAAAGTTACAATTAACATGTAAAAAGTTTTAATTCAGTTATGAATTCGAATAGAATGTAAATAGGCAATAAATTATAATAATAATTATATCTTATTTGATATCAGATTTTTGACGTGATTTAATTAACATTAAAGTGTATGTATGAAGAAAATGTATGTATATACATGTCAAACATATATAACTTTCAATAAATCTTATGTTTACATTGCAAATTGATAATTCATTGAATTACACATAAAAAATTTATTCTTATATAAAAATACATATATTTATCTATATTAAAATAATTTATTAAAATTTCACTATTTTTTTAGTTTTTTTATCATCTTTTTTGTCTATAATATTTTTTTCTTCTAAAGATTCTACATTATCATTTGTGATTGTATTTACTGTAATTATATTTTCTTCCTTTTCTTTAATTAAATCTGGACAATCTTTTTTTAAATGTGTAACATCCCCACAAATTTTACAAGCTCCTCCCTGAGGATAGATTCCTTTAGGATTATCAGGACATTGTTTAGCAATATGCCCTTGTTCACGGCAAATAAAACAAGTTGCATATCTATATTCTGTTGGCTTAGTTACTTTACATTCAAAATGTGTATGTTCTGTTGATCCACATTTGTAACAGATTCCTGTTCCTGCTTGTTCTGATCCAAGCTCAGGGCAATCAGATAAATTATGTCCAGCTTTACGACAATGGAAACAAACAGATTTCTTAATTCTAGCTAATGCTTTTTCAGCTTTTCTCCTTTCTAATTTCATTGTTGTATCTATTTCTTTTTGTGGAATGCCTAAAAAAATATATAAAATATAGAAATGTTTTAAATATATAATATAAAAAATATATCTTATACAATCTACCTTTCATAATCATTTTCTGTTTTAAATCATTTAATCTATCTGCATCTTCTTTTTTTATTGGAAATCCATTAAATTTTACAATTTCTATTTCTATACCATTGATGATTATTTTTGAAGATCCTAAATCTGGTTTTCTTCTTTTGTGTTCTTTATCATCTCGAATTTTTGGTGGTTTTTTTTTCTTTTTTTGATTATCAAATTTTTTCATACCAAATTTATTTGGAATATCTTTATACTTTTGTGATTTAGTGATAGAATTTTTATTAAACCTTGTTTGATTAATTTTTACATTTATATTCTTGTTATTGTTTGTATTCTTTAATGCAAAATTATCATTATTATTTTCTGCAATATTAAATAAATTTTCATTCAAACTTTTTTCTTTATTATATTTTTGACGTTTAAAAGGTATAACTTTCTCATTTTGTGATTCATTTGTATTGATTGTTACATCATTTTTATTTTTTTCAATTTTTGAGATATCTTGTACATTCTTTTTTCTTTTTTTATTTAATTTATCAAATAATATATTCGGTTTATTAATTTTTGTATCATTTTCTATTTTTGCTTTATTTAATTGTATCTTTTGGTTTTTTTTGATCTTATTTATCATTAAATCTTTTTCTCTTTCAGAGTTGTCTGGAAATTCTGCCCAGGAATTATTAACACTTTCAATATCATTAGTTGTAAATTTATTTTGCTTATTTTCTAATAATTCTTTAACAGATTTTGTTTTTTCAGAAAATTCTTGCTTTTTAGATAAATTTTCAATTAATTGCTGTTTCATTACATGCCATGGAGTAGCTTCATTGGGTATTCTTTCATTTGAAGCTTTTGAACCTTTAGCTCTTGTATATCGAGTCATATTTTAATAATTAATTGAAATTATCTAT